GTGCCCCCAGAGCCCAGGAGGGGAAGTGCCCGGCCGGCGACTCAGGGTCCGGAGGCATGGGCGCTGCCCGAAGCGGGTAGCACTCGGGCAGCTCGGCTCTTAAACAGAGCCGAAGAGTCGGGGAGGAGCACAGCCGCCGCGGGAGAGGAAGTGCCCAGCCGGTATTTTTCCCGGACATGTTCGGCTTTTTGGCAATTCCCCCTGGCCAGGACATGTCCAGGAAAAACTGGACGTATGGTAACCCTATTTCACCAAATCCCTCAGCGGCTGTGATGGAGTGGACTAGGCCCAAAGGTCCCCTGCTGAAGGCCTCAGAGAGGAGTAGAAGTGAAGTCCTCCAAGTGGCCTAGAGTGGTTGCAGGGAAGCAGCCAATGAGAGAGGCTGCAGGGAGCAGCCAATCAGGGCCCAGCAGGGCCATATAAAGGGAGCTACAGAGTAAAGCAGCAGTCAGGTGCTGCCTGGAGCTGGTGTGGTGTGGTGTGGTGTGGTGTTCCTGGCTGAAAGAGCAGCACAACCATGGATAACCCAGTGTGGGTAAGGGCTGGGGGAGCTGAGAAGGAGCTTCTGGCTGGCTGCTGGGACCATGGGAGCAAAGCACAAGCTCATGGCTGGCTGCTGGGATTGAGTAAGGACTGAGTTCAGGGAGGGCTGCAAGAAGACAGTGTCTCCAGGGAGGAAGCCCTGGAGGTATGGCCCCATACCAGGACTGGGACAAGTTAAAGACTGTATACCCCAGAAGGGGTTTGCTCTGTTTCATATTCAGATGCTGTGTGTGACTTGGCCAGAGGGCTGAGTCACTGAAAAACTGCCTGAGAAACCACTGATGAGTCACCATAAACTGAGACTGCAGACACACCTGACCAGAAGGGGCTGCTTGTGAGAGGTGTGTGCCATGCCCCCATCACAGAGACTATGCTTCGCCAGTGTTGAATGGGGTGGCCTTCAGTAGAACCCACAGTGAAGTAGGAAGTTGTCTTGGTTTCTTGAAGGAATAGGTAGCATGTTCCCCTTGTAGCCCTGAACCAATAGCCCCATGTGGTATAAGAGGGCTCTGGGGGTGACACCTTTCTGAGGAGATGGAAAACTAGGGTCCTAACCCAGGGGTGGGCAACTATGGCCTGGGGGCTGCATCCAGCCTGTCAGATCTTTTAATCTGGCCCTTGAGCTGCTGCCGGGGAGTGGGATGGGGGACTTGCCCCGCTCTGCACCTGCCCTGGCTCCTGGAAGCAGCGACATGTCTCCCCTCTGGCTCCCACACATAGGGGCAGACAGGGGGCTCCACATGCTGCCCCTGCCCCAAGTGCCAGCTCTGCAGCTCCCGCAGCCAAGGGGGGACATGCTGTTGCTGCTTCCAGGACATGCTGCTTGAGATAAGCACTGCCTGGAGCCTGCACCCCTGACCTCCTCCTGTGCCCCATCCCCCTGCCCTCTGAACCCCTTGGTCCCAGCCTGGAGCCCCCTCCTGCACCCCAAATCCTTCATCCCCAGCTGCACCCACAACTGGAGCCTGCACCGCCCAGAGCCCCCTTCTGCACCCTGAGCTCTTCATTTCTGGCCCCACCCCAGAGCCCACACCCCCAGTCGGAGTCCTCATCCCCTCCCTCACCCCAATTTCGTGAGCATTCATGGCCAGCCATACAATTTCCATACCCAAATGTGGCCCTCAGGCCAAAAAGCTTGCCCAGTCCTGTCCTACCCACTTGTCACCACTGATGATCCCATGCTGTTTTTCTAGCACATAGGGTGTTTGCTCTGATGGTGTGGCCAAATTTCTGCTCATGCAAACACCCATGAGTTTTAGGGGTGCCCAAAATCTGAGTAAAGGTCCAGCTCTGAATTTAGCAAATGGCCCTCATCTTTATAATGGGGATAACAGCGACTTCCTTTATCAAGCGCTTTGAGATCTACTGATGCAAGTAAGAGCTAGGTACTATTATTATTTATAAGGGCCCAAACCCGAGATTTGAGAGGTGCACACACATACGCCTGCACCGAAAAACTTGGGAGTGGTCAGAATCTGAACATTCGCACCAAAACCTCTCTGGGGTTTGCAGTTTTACTTGTGTGGGTTTTTGTGATTTATTGGCCTGGTTCTTAGTGCAGAGCCCTTGGCCGATGTTCAGGGCTAGTCTGCACACCAGGAGGCATGAGGAGAAGAGAGGTGACTGACCAGAGTGTCACGGAGCAAATCTGGGGGCCTTGGATGGGTCTTTGTGGCTCCGGTTCCTGTGCTTTGATGCTCACTAAAGTCTCGCCCTCTGCTGCCAGTGTGAACAGGCTGCCGTGCCAAGTCTAGCGCACAGCCCCCTTCCCCCCCAGTGCAGCAAGCAGAGGCTGAGAAGCTGATCCAAGCTTTGTGTGCATATTTCCATTCTCCGCCAGGACTGTTTTCCAAGTTCAGATCCCTCCCTTTCCAACGCTCCCTGCTCAAGGCCCCCACGCACCCTGGGGGACTTCTCATGGCTCCAACACCACCCGGGGAACGTGTGTATCTTGTGCCCTTCCACCTCCCCTCTCTGTCGGGGCTGTGCCAGTCTTTTCCCACTTCCCTCCCCCCTCCGCACCCCCCCAGCTCTCTAACCAGCTGGGAGGAGGAGACTAAGTTCGCTTATGCCTCTCTACTAGGTCACCACCACCACCGCAATCGGATCGGTTTGGGCTGGCTGTGCAGACCCTGGGTCCTCCACATTCGGCTTCCCGGCCAGCTGGGTCCCACGGCAAAGGAGGTGAGTGACGCTTGGGCTCAGTGGGAGCGTTTTGGGGCTGACTGGGTCCCCCCCCCACGCCTCTCTGGGACAGGGACTGTTGCTTCCTATCTGTGGGGACCATACTAAGGACATAGCCTCGGATCCCGACTGGGGCCTCTGAGTGGCACACAAACAACACTAAAGCGGGGGCGCTGGAACAATTTGGGGGGGGGGGGGGGGCTGAGAGCCACTGAACCAAACTGTAAACTCTGGTATGATGGAAACCCCTTGGAGCCAGGGGGGCGGCGGGGCTACCCCAGCGGATCAGCCGTGCAGCCCCCGGAAAAGTTTCCCGGTGGCCTGCAGCCTGTTGCCGGAGCTCCATGCGGCGCGGGGCTGAGCAGGGAGGGTGAAGGGCGGACCGGGAACCGCGGAGTTAACGCCGAACTTTCCCCGGTGCATGCAGCGGGGGGGTTGCAGGAAGGGACGTGGTTGCAGCAGCCGCGGGGCGGGGGGGGCGTTCGGTGCCTGCGGCCCGAGGGGTGCGGACGGGGGCTGCTGCCAGCCCGGGCTGACCCAGTTCTGCGGGGGTGGGGGCGGTGGCTCCACTAGCGAGCGGGGGCTGGGGAGGGGAGGGGGAGTACAGAGGAATTCGAAGCTCTCCCAGGGGGGAGTCACCATGGTGATTTGAGGATTGGCGAGCCCGGCTGGCCAATGGGGAAGGGGATGTGAGCGAGCCGAGAGGAACGGGAGGCTGGGCCAATGGGCGCACCGCGGAGGCGGGCTCCGGAGGGCGGAGCTGCGGGGGGGCTGGTCCCGCGCCCATTGACGGCGATGGCAGAAATCTCATTCACCGCGTGGGTGCGAGCGCTGGGCATGTGCAGCG